GGTCACCCTGTTCAGTTGTTGACAATTAAGAATGACCTTCCTGCCTTAAAAATTATGAATTCGCTTTTGACGTCGTTACATCTTAGGTTGTGCTTAGAAATATACGATTCACAAATACTAATGAGCGTTCTCAAGCCACCCACCGATGGTCTCAGCAACACCATGTCGTCCGCATAACTTATATTATCCTCCGCCCCGGCGGAAACGTCACGCGTATGCTTGTCAGCCCCTGCACGTGCTTACGCCACTGTAGCCGCTTCTACCAGCTGACCCGCCACTTCGAAACTTGAGTTGCGGCAATCGGCTAAGAGTAAAAGTAATCCCCGTGTGCCTATCTCCGAAGTTGCAAAACCACAGGGGCAGACGGATCAATGCGACGAGGACGGCTTCACAAAGGTGGTGAAGAGGAAGAGGAAGCCCACCAGCCGTAACCTGTGTGGCACAGTACCGACAGGATAGAACTTTTTGCTCCGTTCAGCAACACCGACGACGCTGCTGTACCTGTCACGACTACATTACTCCACGAAATCTGAGGAGATAGTGGAGTACATCAGGCTAAAAGCCAAATACACCCTGAGGCTCGAGCGATTGGAGTCCCGCCACAACGTAAATTTTAATTCGTTTGTGGTGAGAGTGCCGATCGAACATCTGTCGGCCTTCATGAAGGAAGAGTTTTGGCCGAAGGGTGTCACATATCAGCGATTCCGCCAGATTGCGCCACACGTCGCCGACAAGTGCAATACGTGTACATTTGTTGTTTATTTTATTTATATTGTATGTATGTTAGTCCTTAAGGCATGTTATATTATATGGTCATGTGGCCGGAAATAAATGTATAAACAAAAACAAATAAAAATAAAAATAAATATTTTTTTTTACAAACAACCCTATGTATAGGTATGAACGCTATAATTCGGGCATTTTCAAGGCGAGAGTGAATAAATATTATTTGAGTGTGCATACTTCATCTATGACCTCATCGTCACTTTCCGTCAAGTGCACTTATATTTTGTAAATTTTTATTTTTTATTAATGTATTGTATAGAGTTTAATAATGAATTTTTAGACATTTGATACACTATATTATACGTATTATGCGGATATTATTGCAGTGTAAAGAAATTTTTTATATTTATTAACCATGCTTCCTCCTGTTGTGAAAGAAAGAATGAATGAATGAATGAATGAATGAATGAATGAATGAATGAATGAAATATTCTTTATTGCACATAAAATTACAATTAAAATACAATACAATAGCTTAGGTATAATAGTAGTAGTAAGTCAATGTGCAACAGGCGGCCTTATTGCTATGTAGCAATTTCTTCCAAGCAAACTTAGGATAGACAATTCGGATCTCCAAAAGGGGTGCAACCAAAGAATATCATCATAAAGTACACTACATAAATATAAGTAATAATAAAAATATACACATATCCATAGATATACATATACATATACATACAAATAACAATAATATTATTAATACACAATAATATTAAATGCTTATATACTTTTAAAGGAAAAAGAAAAATGAAGTATAAATATAGGAAATATATGAAAGGATAGTAGAAGAAATGAAAGAGTATATGAGAGCATAAGTACCTATACCTATTTATTGAGGAGACTTCTATATAGATCGCAGAAGCGTCTCAACTTCTAAACAACTAAGGGATGTCAACCATTTTTTTATGTATACATATATAATCTCAGTACACAGTACTAAAAAAACCGACCTCAAAAGTTCGGGAATTACATCCATTTGCCAAATTTTATTGAAATCGGTTATCAGAAAGTGCGTAAAACCGGATACATCCCATAGTTTGCCACCTTTGGAATTGTAATATTTTCTTTAAATCTAAATGGGACCATTGCCGATGTACCCACTTTCCAACAAAAAAGAATCATCAAAATCGGTTCACAAATGCCGTAACATACATAAAAAAACATACAGTTGAATTGAGAACCTCCTCCTTTTTGCAGTCGGTTAAAAATTATACATAAAAGTTATAACTTTTAACAAATAAAGAAGAAGATCAAAGTGAGCAGTGAGTGAGAAGTGCAGGAGGCTACACAGACAAGAACCTGGCTATTAAATAGAATGATGATATACAAAATTCATATTAATGTTATTATATAGTAGGTTGAACATTCATTGTACTAGCAAACATTGACATTATAATAATATTCTTATTCATTTTTGAACCTTAAAAATTTTTCGTATTGAAAGCATAGAGTTACAGCCCAGAACTATGTGATATATTTGTCATCGTTATGAAAAGATTTGCCAATCGGCTTATGGAATTTTTCAATAATACCAAGTGACGGGACGAACAAGTCATGCACCTGGTAGTAAGCGACACGCCTATCCTTAACAGTTGCAGTGCCATCTGAGTGACACGCCTTAAATCGCAAAGATCTTAGTCTTAGGATCACTGCCTCTGCGCCCGTCACCCTGAGGCATAAGTAGACAAGTTGAGGAGATATAAAGCGCCATTCAATCCTATTTACACCTTGTTCTCGAAACCACTTCATTCCAATCGTTAAAATATTATTGGCCCCTCGAAAGTTTGTGCCGTTATCACTGATAATTATTCTACATTCCCTCTTCCAGCCACAAATCTCTTTAATACAGGTATATGAGCACCCTTCGCTTTTAAACCGGAACGTAGTAATGCTGACATTACTGCTTGGCGGCAGAAATAAGTAAGGTGAAAGTACTTCCCTGGACGAACTCTTTCACAAGGAGCTCTACTGCTACTAAATGTAAAAATATTGTGGAGCTCGGAATTAACGTCAACTACTGATCGCAAATAGGAGCTACTAAACTACTAAGCTTACTAAAGAAAAAGAGAAACTAATCACTAGGCAGTATGTTCTCTCTCTTCTTGCCTGTTACATGCGGAACGAAGGGAAACAAAAAAAAATAAAATGGGTGAAAAGTAGTAAAAAAATATATATAATAACAGCGGTAAAATAAACGAAAGTACATTTTTTGTATTTGTTGTTTATATTTTTTTTTTTGTGAAAATTAGTTCTAATGAGAAGAACAAAAATAAACTAACGAACTGGATTAATTCAAAACAATAAGCAAAATTTGTCATGAAATTATAATTATTTATTTTTTACTTTTTCTATTATACACTCTCCTTCATTCTTCAGTCTTTATTTCCCCGCATTGTTTACGAAAAGCGTTGTATATTCCTCGGCAGGACCGTGGATTGCCTGACTCTGCAATAATACAGATACTATTTTACCACGGCCCTGGAATAATGATACCAACTAGTAGACTGCCTCTAAACCGGTAGGTTTAAAACAAATTCTGCTTAGTACATTGCAGCAACTCGTCAATAACGTGAATTGGGTATTGGTTTTCGTCAAGGCGTTCATACTGCGGTAGTCAACGCAAAAAATAGATAATATCAAAGTACAGATATAACTCCATGTGACTCCTCTTATTACTTTTCAAACTTCATTTTATAACATTAAAGCCCAATAAACCGGGAATATACCTATGCAAAATTTCTTGATTTTCGCAACAAAAGCACAAACTATTATAAGTTTAACTTTTGATAAAGAAGCTGTAATAAGAAATCATAAATACCTAATAAATACTCGAGAATATTATAATTTTCACTACAAGAAAAATCTCAAACTCTTTGCCTATGATGGTTGAAAAATCTGTTACGGGATCTTAAGTTTTCGTAACATTTCCACTAACGAAACTCAAAGTATGTTAGTACAATTAAAATTAAAGCCCATTCTTACTTAAAAAAGTACACGTTTGTTGTTGAATTACGCAAGATTGAAAACTGAAAGAATGTAAAGGAAATAGCAATTAATAATGTTTCCTAGTTCGTCGAGAGTTTTGTATAAACAAAGTATTTTACAATTATTTTGTTTCTAGACTACTTTATACACACTGTATACACAGGTCAGGCATACGGAAAACTGGCGCCATTGATGATGGATTGTCAGTGAATATGAATAATGTTAAAGAATATAAATACAAATGAATGAAGAACCGTCATCGTTAGTCTTATTGTTAATTTATCAGCTGATAATCGCATAGTTTTACGATCGTCTTGTTTGCGCAATCTTTAAGTATAAAGGTATCAAATATACAGACGATCGATTGTCACGATAAATGTATCGATCCGTCGCTATTCCCCTGGTGTTGAACGTAGCGTTAATCGTTAACGACATAAACGTACACTATCGATCCGTCGTTTCAATCAGTTTGAAACGACTGATCGTGAAGACAAGTCGTCCGGTATATGGGCGCCCTAAGACTGCAAAATTTTGATTAAATATAAACAAACTCCCGAGGTCATTGCTGTAGTTAGGATCAAGTAATATAAAACTTCTATTTAACCGGTAGTAAAGTAATACTACACACATATTTAAAGATGATGTGCCAAGATTTCGTACATAAACATACACTAACGATTCATCGTTTCGATCAGTCTGAAATGACGGATGGTGAAGACAAATCACCCCGTATATGGGGGCCCTAAGGCGACGAAAGTTGGATTACACTTAAACAAACGCCCTTAGAGACATTGCTGTGTTTTGGACAATCTAATATGTAATCTCAGTACAGAGAACTATAAAAATCGACCTCAAAAGTCATTCATCCCCTAGTTTGCCACCCTTACAGGTGGAATATTTTCTTCAAATTTAAATGGGACCACTTCTGAGGTACCCTATTTCCAACGAAAAAAGAATCATCAAAATCGGTTCACAAAGGAGTTATCGCGTAACATACATACAAAAAAAAACATACCGTCGAATTGAGAACCTCCTCCTTTTTTTGAAGTCGGTTAAAAACTGTATTTATCCATTATACGGTTACGGAGTTCTATTCCACTATTAAGTACTAAATTAATATTGGCCCACACATTTATAAATGACGTGCCGTAATTGCGTATTTCTTTGGGAGGAGCGTTCAATTTAACATATTTAGACAGATTTTCACCAAAATAATAAACACAACAATATCAGAATGTAAGTTTTTAATTTCAAAAGTCAACAAAACGTCACAGTCGGTCTTAATCGAATCTTAACTGGTTCTTAAATCAGACAGCTGGTAACACCAGTACTCTCGTCTTCAGCCAAAGCGAAACAAATCAGGCTCTTTAATCTTCGAACAGCTTGGGTACGTAAATCTCGATCTGCAACGTCATTGAAATGGACAGTAGGAATGTAATGTAATATTTCGACGGGTTCACGAGCTGCTTCTTGAGCTGCCAAATCCAAATCGTGTCCAGTAGTAGTAACACAGTAATCAAGGTCTACTAAATTAATACCAATGGCATTAGCACAAAGGTAGGAGCCACTAAACGCAGGGAAGGGCGTGGTAAATTCACAAGTCATGTACATCATTTGGGCGTCTTGGTTGCCACTCAACAAATTCAAAGCGCATCTGTGGACACGGTTCGCAAAGCAATCTCTAGGTCCAAACTGACAATTCATCGTTCCATTTTCATCGTAAGAGGATCTGCCCCAAGGTACAAATTCTAGACGCAAGAATTCTTTGTATGTCTCGTACGTTTCGACCAGGTGCTCGTTAAAAAATCTCACTGTAGCACTACATCCTGCTGTTGTTCCAACCGTTATTTTAATTGTGCCGTTAATTAACTCTATAACGTGGTCTGCATTGGCACAACTAAAAACAACAGAAAGACACGCAAAAATGTACAAAAATTTCACCATGATTCTCTCCGACACGAGTCAAAATTAAACAGGTACTAAGTAAATGTATTTAAAATTGTAAAGAATTATTATCAATGATTATTGATAATAATTATATTCAATAGGTTTCTACGATAACATAATAATTTGATAACGGAAATTTAAGTAGATAGATAACATGACACAGATATCGACAGTTATCAAAATATACAAAAATACTCACGGTATTAGTGTGTATTGTGTACTTGAATTATTGTCAGGTGGTCATTGTTAACATAAAATAACTGCTAGAGACACGCCTTAGGGAAATGCCTTAAAGGCAATGCATCTCCTCATGTGACGGTGCACCTAAAACCCAAATGATTAAGTGCCCAAAGGGCTGTTCTCAAAATGTCTTCTTTTATACCTTTTCAATAAACCGGATGCATCCCCTGATTTGCCACCCTTAAAGGTGGAATATTTTTTTTTAAATGGATCATTACTGAGGTAAGTACCCATTTTGCTACAAACACAAAATCATCAAAATCGGTTCCCTAATGTCGCAGTAATAAAAAAACTACGTACGAATTGAGAACCTCTCATGCCTCGATTTCTATCAGAACCGAGTTCGCCAAAACTCACACATTCTTAATTTGAAACACTACAAAATCTTATTATTCATTGGTCGAAGTTTCAAATTTAAAAAGAAATAACTAATTCTGGATTGTTAATATAATTTAAATTTGTGACGGTGTGACCTCCTTCCTCGTCATCCCACCTTTTAATTTAAATTTCTTTTAAATTTTATTCTCACACTCGTATTTAAATTCAATTTTTGAATTGTTCCATTCTTTGCCTCACATTCTGATTTTGTTTCGTTCCATCGTCACTCCCTGCCCGATCGCGGTAGAGAACACATCTTCTTGTTATTTTTTTTAACCATTTAATATTTTACTAAAAATCTTCTACAAATCTTGTACAATATATATTTTTAAGATCATAAGTAATTATCGAGTTCCTAGGTTATCGCGATTGTTACACATGAAACTGTTTTTCCGGATTTAAGTCGCGTATATTTGTTTTTTCAAACTAACCGACGTTTCGGGCCCTTTACAGGTCCCATGGTTAAAACCGCAATAAATACTTATAAAACTGGATTTATTACCATTACCCTTTACCCTTTTGAACTTTGAACTTTAAACTTACTAAGTAAGATGTATGGAGGCTGCGGAGGCTACTACTACATTCCATCCAACAGGACATAACGCCACCAGGACCAGCAGCACTCTTACAAACTTTACCCTGTTGGCATATCGATGAAAGTTCAATACCATCAATACCTATTATTACAAGTTTAATATTATAATGAATTTTAATAAAATAAAATATAAATAAAAATACTTTATTCTTCAACAGAAAATATACAACAATATTTAAGATAAAACAATGATTAAATCCATGTAGAAGAAAAAGAAAAAAGCCCCGCAATTTGCTGGTTTTCAGGTTTCACCTGGCAAGTATTCGCCGCTGGAGACACCGTAGCATATAGAGACGGGTATCTTTTCGATTATATATTATATGTATAAATAGGAGGGAACCCCACTCAATATATGTTTACTACAGAAATAACAAACCTTAAAACTAAAAATGACATACGTACCGACCACCGAACATACTGCACTTAGCAGCAAAGAGTATTTAACTGTGTACATAGAATACAACAAACAGAGAATGGAATTTAGAAGAATATAGAGGTAGTACATTTTTAATTTTAATTAAGCAGCCATTCCTTGCACTTACACTTGAAAGAATAAGACGATTTATATATTTTTACTGGCGACGGAAGATTGTTCCAACACTTAGTTGCCGCAAAACGAAAGCTGCCTCTAAAAGAACGTAGTCGAGGAGAAGGTGACCATTTCAAACTCGTATAGCGTATCGTACGGGTGCTAACCTCCACTGTATCGTTCCAAATCAGCTTATTTGCCAAGTACGGAGGCGACAGTTTATTTATCAAAGAAAATACAAGTGTACCAAGCTTGAACCAGAGAACAAAAAGTAAAGAGAAAGGACACTCTCCGCCCCTCCCTAGCTTTAGATATCGCACCACGCCCCACACATTGCCGGTCACATTGACTGAATGACAATAAGGCTGCCGGCGGCGAGCCGTTTTCGCGCGAAGACGGCTTTGATATTTGAAAATAGTTTTCATTTATTCATTACGAAACTTGTACGTTAATATAAAACATCATTTTACGTTACTGTTTATAATGGCCGTGAATTGTGCTGTGTACGGCTGTTTATCATCATTTTCCGCAAGATGAAACGAAGTAACCAAAAAATCTAGGACTCATTCAGTTATTGTTTTCTTCATTTAATTACTGCAGAGTAATATATGTTGTATAAAAAAATACAGGTTTATTATATCAATATAATGAGGCGCCATGACGTCGTAGACAAGTGTTCTGGAATTTTCAATTCGTATTGCCGATAAATATTACGTAAGTAGTGAATATATCTAATTATTAACTAAATAATGATGATCAACTTGGACACGCAATTTTAAATACCTTGGTTACCTTATTTAAAAGTACATGTGCAAAATATAACATTTTAAGGGCTTTTAATATATTTTTTAAATAAATCCTCAATATTACTCTAGTTACTGAATTAATGAAAAATATGATATTGTATCTGATTGTATCGATATAAATACATAATAGATATGTGTAATTATTTGGATTATGGCATTTTCGCTATGTTGCCGCTCTGATCACGTAACGTAATAGTGCAAGAAAGTGATGGGTAACCCTACCACTTCACGTACACATTTGCGCGTGTGCAGATAGCGCCTTGCTGTATATAGTAGTAGTAGGTAAATAATTTACGACTGTTGTATGGAGTGTCCGGGGTGTGCTTTAACATTCGCCTGTTCGTCATGTTCAAAATGTTGTAGGTATTAAGAAATAGAGTAGTATGTAACCTCGGCGGAACGGAATAGCAAAACCTAAAACATGAGTTTTGAACGCTTTGGATTTTCTTCACCGTCTTTTTGTGGAAACAGGGTCCATACACAACGTCACAATAATCGATAATAGATAAAACCAGGGCATCCGTCAATCTACGTCTTACAGCCGTACGCAAACAGGGTCTTATCTTGTATAACTGTTTAAGCGCAGCATAACATTTAGGTAGTTTGGAAATCACAAGTTTGTCAAAATTTAGAGAGCCATCGAATAAAAGACCTAGGTTTCTCGGTATAATAGATTCGTATATTTGCTGTTTATTAATAAAGATGGAAGGATTAGAATCATGGACACATTTATTCTGATGTTTTGTGCCCAATATCAGATAGGAACATTTCTGCGCGTTTAATAAAAGTCCGTTATTATTAGACCAATCCAATACCAGGCTCAAGTCAACATCAAGCGCCCGGATAGCTGTAAGTAAAAATACTTACAGCTATCCGGGCGTAACACATACCGAGCCACAGAAAGATAAAAATCTTTCTGTGGCTCGGTATGTGTTACGCTCGGTATGTAGCACCACTTGATTGTTTACGACTAAGTAAATCACTGGTATCGATGGTGTAAAAAATCGGTCCCAATATGGATCCTTGAACCACACCACGCTCTACAGAAAGAGTTGCTGATTTCATTACAGTTCCACCACGATTAACACATTCAACGGCTTGAGTCCTGTTACTAAAATAACTATAGAACCATGAACACACAAGATCAATGCATCCATATTGTTTAAGTTTATAAACAAGGATACTACTTACGAGACAATCAAAGGCGGGACTATAACCTAACAAAACTAGAATAGTAGCTAAACCATTGTTATTTCCCGCGCAGGGAGATGTTTTTGCTCGCAAACACGCTTTATCCCTATCTACCATTACGGTCTTTATGCTATCTGTGATCCAAGGTGTTGGATAAGCACGGAATGCTCTTGTATGCTCAGGAACAAAATGATTGAACAGCCTATATTAGATACTCAAAACATTCTACCATATCGTCTACATCACTACACTCTAAGACCAAGTTCCAGAGCGTGATGAACGAGGCATAGTTATAACTTATAACTTATAAGTCTCTACGTCAAAGTCATTAAATGGTCTATATTTTCTAACTGCCTCCGTGGCCGAACGGTTACCATGCTGCACTGCCACACAGAGGTCCCGGGTTCGATTCCCGGGCCGGGAGAAGTATTTGTATGGCCTACATTTATTGCTCTCGTGAGTTTGGGTGTAATTTGTGGTTGTCTATGTGTCCATGGCACCCGCGATACAGGGTTTCCCTAGAACGGGGCTATGAGTGTGTACGCGTTATTATTATTATTATTTTACAGTTCTGGGTGTAGGTTTTTGGGTTTGGATTGGAAGTTTTACTGAAATGTATGCGTTAAGTCATCATTGTGTTCGACAATAATATTTGTAGCTTTGAGAGATTTACCGCTGCAAGTGACATCCAGTACTTACTTGGTACTTGGTGTAACGGGCTAGTGTCCGCAACTCGACGTCAAGGCGCCTATTTTGCGTTTGGATGACATCCAGTAATGACTTCGTAGTTTCAGTAACACGGGTAACTTCCGTAACGATTAGATATAGTTCATCTTTATTTAGAAGTTCAAAAATTATAATTATCCTTTTGGTGTCCCGCGGAAGTCAAAAGGTTTCAATTTCATTCTATGTGCTGCCATCTAGCGGTTCATTGCTGAACGATGACTAATTTGAGTTGTTCATTTAGTTATCCAAACAAGAAGTGACCATATTGCAAGGGTATAAAATGGGTACCTATAAACCTTACTAGCGTTTCTTGTTACAAAAAAAATTATATAAATAGAAAATTGAAAATTTATTAATTTATAACACTTTCCGATGATATGAAATACCACCACGGGTAATATTTTTGATGCGGCTATAATTTTTGCACTCCAAAACAGCACAATAAGACATTTTTCTAGGATTTTAGAGAATTTGCACTAAAGAATGACACAACCACAAAGCGAAAATGGCGGACTAGGCTCAGATAGATCTTTCGAGACCTATAGTTGAACCGCGTCGTCGGTCGCTAACTAACCACTTGTACTGTATTTATTGTTCAGAGGTCGAACCTGATGACCCCCGCCCCCGCTATTGCATTTTGCACCGGACTTGTATAACGCTTTCCTTTGTTACCGTATAGAGTTATCTTATATATTATATTATAGCCTTAGAATAATAACGCATAGAAACCTAGCCCGCACACGCTAAGTGAGGCAAGTTAGAGGGTTCCAAACGCGTCCCAGGAGCGCGCGGGCTGTTAGTGCTCAAGGTCATATTGCACCGCGAACAGCTCCAAAATTTTTTGCTAAAAATGACGAAATGTGCGGTAAATGGGTGTAAAAATACAACAGACAAACATAAAATAGACACTAACATCGCATTCCACAAGTAAGTAATGCGTTTCAACTCATATTTTTATGTAAATATTCACTAAAACAGAAAAATAATTTCGCGGCAACAAGATACGAAAGTGTTGCAAAGTAACGAATTTTTTTTCTCCCCATTTTGCTATTCTGTATCAAAATAATTATATTACGTAAATTTTAGTGGTGCCTGTAATTTAGATTTATTTGCGCATCTTGAACTAATATTTACTTTAATAAACATTAAATGTTTTCGTTAACTCCTGTAAGTGATTGGGACACTTAATTATTTTATAATACTTTTAACGGCTCTGCGTTCATGCTTTATTGAATAATTATTTATTTTAATTTTATTTGAATTGGAGCACATATTACAGTACTTATATATTTGTTTCTACTATAGTGTTGGCACCACCAGTAGAACTTTGATAGCTTATTATATGTCTTTCTTTTCGTAACTCAAGCGAAATATTTTATATTAAAATATTTTATTTTCTTAAAAGGGGAGCATTCTTAAGCGATTTTTTAATCTATTTTAACAGTTATTTTCTTTAATGTTTGCTTATGGCATTTTCGGTTTTAGGTTTCGAATATGGCACTTATTTCTAAATCCAAGATGCGGGCGCGATTTTTCGAATAATGGCAAGTTGGGTATCGTTTTCGAGATGTTTGGGAATGTTCAATACAAATATGGCACTCATTTCTAAATCCAAGATGGCAAACACGACAGTTCAAACAAAAGCAATATTCGTAATGAGCACCCCCAAATACCTCGAAAACGATACCCAACTTGCCATTATTTGAAAAATCGTGCCCGCCATCTTGGATTTACAAATAGTGCCATATTCACATTGAGCATCCCCAAATACCTCGAAAATGATACCCACATAGCATTTTTTTGAAAAAATCGTGCCCGCCATCTTGGATTTAGAAATGAGTGCCATATTCGTAATGAGCACCCCCAAGTACCTCGAAAATGATACCCATATTGCATTTTTTTGAAAAATCGTGCCCGCCATCTTGGATTTACAAATGAGTGCCATATTCGTAATGAGCACCCCCAAGTACCTCGAAAATGATACCCATATTGCATTTATTTGAAAACTCGTGTCCGCCATCTTGGATTTAGAAATGAGTGCCATATTCG